AATTAGCACCTTGGAAGAAAAGCTGATGTCCAAGCAAAGGAATAAGGTACAGAGCAGCCATGTTCAATCCTTACTTGAGGGCCTCTTCCAAACAGAAGGTTTGCTGAGCACCAGGAACACCAATCCAGCACACTGGCCACTCACTTTCTTGCCACCTACGCTACCCCAGAGGCATGTTATGAAAACACAGAACAGATAATGAACTGCTACAAGGAAGACGCAGCTGGTTCCTGGTCCTTCTCTCAGTTAAATTAATTTTTTTTCTTGGTACTGTGTGTGTGCGTGCGCTTGCGAGCCTGAAAATCATGGTGACTTCTGGTGACCCCTAGTGGGGCTAGGACATTTCAGAGAAGTGGCTTGAAATTATCTGCCTCTGCATCCCGGCCCTGGTATTCCTTGGAGGTCGCTCTTGCAAGTATTTGCACAAGATCAGGCTTTCCTGGGCTATCCAGGTCAGGGCAGTGGAATTAAATTTCTCACTGTGCCTTATTAACATGATTTTCCCATTATTCCATCTCTTTACATATTTAGTCCCCACAATAATTTGGGGGGGGGGGGTGACAGATAACTATGATGATTCTTGCTTTCTAGAGAGGCTCCTTCCCTAGTCAGACAATGGGGGGAGGAGCTTATCCTTGCCCCAGTTAGATGGGAGTTAAATCTTGCGGAATGCCTGAAGATATGCCGATTCTCCTTGCCAAGATGCTAGAGGAATGCATGATGGGCAGGGTATGCATGATGGATCAGGAAAGGAACAGACAGTCCTAAAAACCTGGGAGACCTTCCTATGGAGAGAGACAGGGGACCTCTGGGGCTAGATGAACCTCCGCAGTCTAGTGTATGATAGCTTAGAACATAACCGTCCCATAGCACTGGTTGCTGAGGTTCAGTGCTAAGAGAGCAGGAAACTGGTCTTCCAACTCCAAACTGGGCATTGCATAAAGGAGGGTACTTTTGCTTCACACTCACCACGCTGTTTCAGGAGAAGAAATTGGGAGGTGCCACACACCAGCTAGAGCAAGCTTTTATGGGCTTGAGCAGGCCAATTTCCCCATCTGTTATCTTCTCCCTGTTACCTCTTTAACCAGCCATCAACTGCCCTCCAGTATCTGTGGCTCAGAGAGAACAATGAGCATGCTCAGTCCTTGCCAGACAGTTTTTAGTTTTTTAAAAAAATTAAGGAATAGCAGTAGCAAACTAATAGTTTTCTGCATACCTGCTCAGTCCCTGTGCATGCAGAAATCTCAAGCTAGCGGGTAGCTCTGTTCTGCTACCCTACTTACTGATAGACGGGGGATCGGCACATTTGCTATCAGAAGGTGAGCTGCGAGCTGATACCAATTCCTCTCCCACAGGCCTGGCCAAAAGAGGAAACCTGCCTCCTTTCCTTGGTTATATATCAAGGAGTCAACATTTCAAAAAACGTTTTGAAGCCAGAGTGCTAAACATAACCTCAAAAAAAGGAGAAACAACAGATGTTACAAAGGAATATACTATATTTAGGTCAGCTTCCTATGCGAATTGTAAAACTTACAACAATTGGAACAGGGGAGGAATAAAGTCCCGTTACTCCAGGAACTAAGGAGAACATAAAGAAAATACTGTAAACAAATACCTATAATTAGCCATCCATCCATTTTCCTGATACCCCAGAATTATATTGAGTTACAGATTCAAATACAGACAAGTTGGCTGGTCCAAAACTCCTGGATTGCAAAAATTAAGACCTAAGTACTCTAAAAACAAAACTCTTTAATGTATGCCAGCTTCTTCAGAGAACTGAGCACCTACTCTGCCTCCAACTACAGCCCTTTGTTGACATAGCTTTGAACATACAAACACCTCGCAGATTAGAACACTTTCTCTAAATGACCATCTAACGCCTCCCTAAAGAGCACATAATAAGAGCCAACCTGGAACTAATCACAAAGTATTCCCCAACATAACCGTTGTACTCACAACTCCAATGCTAAAAACACCCCCGATCTTCAGTTTAATAACATTTTAAGCCCGCTTATTCAGTACACAGAGGTTTAGAATCAGTTATAACCCCACATCTCCAGATGGAACTGGCTCTCAACTAATTCCAGAAGAACCTACAACCTCAGATCATCTAAATGTTAGGAGTTGCCATTTTATTTTACTTAACACAACCCCTCGCCTCCGTCACTCTCCACTTCCTTTCTTGTGAAGGAATCCCTAACAACTTCCTTGTCCACAGCCAAAGTCAGGCTTCTAAAGTGCACTTTTTTCCTGCCAAGTCTCAGTTAACATACAGCGATCCATCATGAGGTTTTCAAGGCAGAAGACATTCAGAGGTGGTTTGCCAGTGCCTGACTCTGTGGTAGTGTCCCTAGACTTCCCTGGTGATCTCCCACCCAAATATTAACCAAGGCTGACATTGCTTAGCGTCCAAGATCTGACAAGATCAGGCCAGCCTGGGTTATCCAGGGCACACTCCACAACAACAAATGTTTCTTCCGTACCATCTGGGCACAGTTCAGACAGCTAACACCAAGCCCCAGTCCTGTACACGGATCCTCACTATACATGCGCCTGAAAAGGAGCAGCCTGCAATTATTGTTATTAATTTCATTTTAAAATGCTCCTACCGCACTTTTCCACTGCAATGTGGGACTCAAAAAGGCTTATAATCAATCCCACTAAAAAAACAAAAGACATAATAACATGTCATAGTGAGATGGGTCACCATCCTTTCCATAGAATCATGGAGTTGGAAGGGTTCTCCAGGGTCATCTAGACCAACCCCCTGCACAATGCAGGAAATTCACAAATACCTCCCACACACCCACGGACTACTGTTCCACGCCCAGAAGATGAGAAAAAACCTCCAGGATCTCCAGCCAAACTGGCCTGGAGAAAAATTGCTTCCTGACCCCAAACAAAGGTACACAGCATCAGGTACCATCAGGTACACAGCAGGGTAGGGCTGAATAGCTGGTTTTAATAAAAGTATAGGTTGCACACAAGATGCATTTTAAGGGTAAGCCTTAAAAATGTTACACATGAAATGCAGCACTGGGCTTAGCCACATTAGCCACAAACAGCCAAGACACCAGCACTGTGAGAGCCACCGTGGGGGTAGGCTTTGGCAGACCCAAGTTCAGATCTTGCCATGAAGTGACCTTGAGCCTGTCACACTCTCTGGACCTCCCTTACCTCAAAGGGTTTTTGTGAGGCTCAAACAGGGAAAGGAGAGTCATGTACACCATGCACCCTGAGATCTCAGGAAGAAAGGTGAGACAGAAATATGACAGGTCAGCCATTCCTTGGTGGTAATAAAAAAAAACTTCTCAAAATTTCCCTACATAGGTACAAAATCCATTTTTCAATAGGAAATCTCACACCTGTTCCATGCCTGCAATTTTTTCCCATGCACGTGGCTCACCTGACACACCTCATCAGCTTGTACAGAAAACCAAACACCTTTCGCTCACAACAGTTCCTGAATCCCAATGGCAAGATCACATCTGCTGTCCTTCACCAGCTCCACAAACCAAATCAATGAACCAAGTGACCAACACGGTATCCCCTCACAATGCCACTTAGAAGACCAGACCCTCTCTTCCACACTGACACTCTTCTAAGCCTTCCCTCCCCAGGGGAAGCTTCTGTGGTTTTCCAAGGAAGTGGGCACTAGCCCACAAAAGACTGATATAGTATCATCTGCTATGGAGAGGAGGAGGAGGAGATTGGATTTACACCCTGCCCTTCAATACCCAAAGGAGTCTCAGAGCGGCTTACAAACTCCTTTCCCTTCCCCTCCCCACAACAGACACCCTGTGAGGTAGGTGTGGCTGAGAGAGCTCTTGACAGAAACTGCTCTTTTTCAAGAACAGCTGTGCCAGAACTATGGCTTGCCCAAGGTCATCCAGCCAGGTGCAAGTGGAGGAGTGGGGAATTAAACCCGGTTCTCCCAGATTAGAGTCCTCGCACTTAACCACTACACCAAATGCCCAGAAGGGTGGTTTAAATTTAATCTCTGCAGCAAACTAGCCAGGTGATCTCCAGAAACTTACTCCCTCAACTGTCCCCACTGCATCTGGGGATCACAATGCCAACATATTTCACAGGTTTGCTGTGAGGATGACTGCAACACTGGGTGTGAAGTGCTGAAGCACAGTCAAGGGGTCAGAATGTCAGCGTAGGATTTGGAAGGCCCCGGTCAAATCCCTATTCTGCCATGGAAGCTTGTTGGATGACTTTGGACCAGTCACACACTCTCAGCCTAACCTACCTCACAGGATTGTTGTGAGGATAAAAATGAAAAAGGGGAGCTCATTGTAAGCCACTTTGGACCCCCCTCGGGGGGGAAAAGGGGGTATAAATGAAATAAAAACAAATAAGAAACACTAAGCATCTATTTATATTATTATATGTAAGACTAGATGCTAGTTATTATTACTATTTATTATTATTATTTATTAAACTTAATTAAATTTCTTTGACTTACCCATCCTCTCTGCATCTATTATCACCAATGTATAGTCACTACAGAAAAATCCAAGTTTTTGTTTTAAAAGGGCGTGATAGATCTCCTCTGCAAAGAGCTTACAATCACCATACTCACAACAGCTTCACATCTAGTACCCCCTTACTGCAACAGACCACCTTAAAACTCCACAGATGTTAAGTTATCCACTCCCAGGATAACTTAACCCACAAGGCACCTAGCTAAGGTTAACAGCTTAGCAACCCCTCTCTGTTCAGCCAGCTACCTCATGCATATAAGACTGACTGCAGCAACCCATCCCCTACCCTGTCTCATTGCAAAGGCCCAATGGGGTGAGTAGGCAGCAACGCATCAACCACGATCCCGCACACATAAACATTTGAACCACTATATATTTAGCCACTTTCACCCCCAAATTCCTTCTGACATTCACATAACTCTTTATTAACCATAAAGAGATTAAATAGCATACCCTTAATACCCCTCAAAGTACCCACATACAAACACATCTCCAGTACTGTCTCACCAGCTGGCTCCTCTTCATATCATAGCAGTTAAGAACCTGAGGCTAGAAGCCATGGGTGCAGTTCTTCAGGGTGAATCACTGTTCTTTCCGTATCCCTCCTAAAAGGAATGGAGGGGGATAATAATTCTGAGCTACCTTGCAGGGTTGCTGGGAGGAACTGGAGAAACACTAGAGAAATGCTCCATACAAGGACAGCAAAGGTACAGTCTGGACACAGGGATACATACACACACAGCGGTTGCTGCCCTCAAACACATAAAGGTGTAAGAAGAGCCCTACTGGACCCAAACAAAGGTGAGTCCCTCCATTCCAGCAACAGACAGCCAGATGATCTCAACCAAGGCACGGGCTGCTCCATCTCCTTAATATATGGTCATTCAGTAGCCTTGCAAACCATCAGGTAGGGCCTGGAAACCTCTCAGAATTACTAGTGATCTCCAGACTACAGAGACTGGTGAAAATGGCATTTTGAGAGGGTGGGTTATACACCACTAAGGTACATCCCCTCCTCAAACCTTCACTTCCCCATGATCCACCCCCAAACCACCAGGAGTTTCCCAACCTAGAGCTGGCAGCCCTATTCAGAGATAGACTGCCTCTGAATATGAAAGCTCCATTCACTGCCATAACTAGCTTTAGACTTCCTCCTCCATGGACTTGCCTGATCCTGGCTCCTTCCCCACCACAAAACAAAAGCATCTCTCCACCTCAGTGCAGCAAATTCCACAGGTGACCCCAGCCTCTGTGGTGTGCAGACCTTGACACCTACCTCACACCCCCAATTCATCCACACCACTTCAACAGCTAAGAATCTCCACACAACACTTTTTCTTTCTTCTGCCTATCCTGCGGCAATGAATTCCACAGGTTAACCCTCCCCGTATTGTGAAGAGTAGCCACGCCCCAACATTAAAGCCACGCCCTACTCAAAAGAAGCTCCTCCCATCCTTCCATTTAAGCCCATCCCCTTGCCACTTCTATTCTCTGCCGTTCTTTCACTAGCCCCTTTTGGACGTAAGTGTGTAAGGGGGGGGGATCAGGTGCCTCACACACACTCCCCGAGCCCCCACCAGCGCGGGGAGGGGCGAAGAGAAATCTTAACAGGCCGCTCCGTTCCCCCTTCACTCAAGGGCAGCCACGTGACTCAGGCCCCCACCGCCTCCCCCATTTAAAACCCCCCACACACACACACACCGCTTCTCACCCTCCTTCTTCCCGGCCGCCTCCGCCACCTCACTGCTTCTCTCGCTGCCGCTGCCGCTGCCGTGCAACCCAACCTGCAGCCAAACCCCGAACCGGGCAGGGCAGCCCCCTCCCCTCCTCCGTCAGGGATTAACCGACAGGCCACCTCAGCCAATCAGCGCCATGCGCCCCTCAGCGGCAAAGGCGGGGCCCAGACTCATCGACGAGGTTAGGTTGCGCGGCCCCCGTCTTCGCTAAGAAAGGGGGCCCTCGAGCTGAGGGGAGGAGGGAGAGTAGAGGAGGCGGCCAATCCGGGCGCTCGATTAAGCGAGAGGAAAAAAAGGCAGAGGCGGGGCCAGGAGGCTTATGCAAATATGAGTTTATTTTACTATGCATAAGACGTAATTACATTATTCATAAGCCTCTCTTTGAGGTGAGGGGACCGAAGGGGATAAAGGCGGGAAAACAAGGACATGCCTCAGAATTATAATAATAATTTTGTACAGGCTATCATTTATATTGAATTTATTCACTTGCTTGTTTAAAATATTTATATGCCACTTCTCAATTTCCTGGCTGAGGCGGATTACAACAACAACAACAACAACAAAAGTCATTAAAAATTTAAAATGCAAAATACAAAAGCAATCATACTAGCCACATAAAAGGAACATTAAGAACATTATGCAAATTAAATGCAATTGATTTACAGATACATTTATATAATTAAAAATTCGATCCCTTACATATATATGTAAAAATGCATATGGAGTGAATATATACATAAAGAATAGACAAAATCATACACATATATATGCATATCAGGTTTAGACAAATTTATATTCACCTTACTTATGCGTAACAATATTTTGCTTATACATCTCTCTATATATATAAAATTCACTGTACCTATATCAATTTCTACAAATTCTAACATGTTTATATATGTGTGGGTTTTGTTTATGGAATTATTTTAATTTTTGTCATTTTAAATTATATTTTTATTGCTTTACTTTATGTTGCTTTTACTTCATTGTTTCAGTTAAACATTGCTGGCAGATTTCTGGAGACTGCAGATATAAATCAAATATACCATTACTTTTTATGTTAGTGTGTGTGTGTCGTTGCAGCATAAATGTTCAATGTACATCTATACTGTTAAATATCACTTTGCTAATTGTTCAGTTTATATGCAGATATTAAAAGTAATCAGGCTTTGCCCACCAGTTTACAATATAGCATCGTATGAAGAGGGAAATTCATATGGTTTACCTGTGACCTATATAACTCTTTAAAGTATTAAATTAGTATGCAGTTGTACCCTAAGCTCATTCAGAAGAGGACAGTTTTTAATTAAGCTTTTTTGAACACCACACTAGGTTTTACAGTTCTCCTAGGAAGACCCATCATGATACTACAGGGAAATGTTGCACAGCAGTAAGGAATTAATCTTGTTCATAAAACAAAGAATTCTTCACCAAGCAACTATACCACGAAGTGACGAAGCTAAGAAATACAACAGACCCCCCCATGAAAACACATGAACACACATTAACAAAAATTAAGTCAACACAAAGGATAACATGCAGATCTTTTCAATCTCACTGATTTCCAAGGCAACACTTATTTGACCGTTTTACTAATCACTAGAAGTTAAGGGGGCTTCTCAACTGGATTGTGCCCTGCCCATATGGAGAAAATTATTCCAAACTTATTAATGTCTCCTCCCCTCTTAAACTCTCTCTATATAAAATTCACTGTACCTATACCAAATCTAACGTTTATATATGTGTGGGTTTTGTTTGTGGAATTATTTTAATTTTTGTAATTTTAAATTATATTTTTATTGCTTTACCCACCAGTTTACAATATAGCATCGTATGAAGAGGGAAATTCATATGGTTTACCTGTGACCTATATAACTCTTTAAAGTATTAAATTAGTATGCAGTTGTACCCTAAGCTCATTCAGAAGAGGACAGTTTTTAATTAAACTTTTTTGAATACCACACTAGGTTTTACAGTTCTCCAAGGAAGACCCATCATGATACTACAGGGAAATGTTGCACAGCAGTAAGGAATTAATCTTGTTCATAAAACAAAGAATTCTTCACCAAGCAACTATACCACGAAGTGACGAAGCTAAGAAATACAACAGACCCCCCCATGAAAACACATGAACACACATTAACAAAAATTAAGTCAACACAAAGGATAACATGCAGATCTTTTCAATCTCACTGATTTCCAAGGCAACACTTATTTGACCGTTTTACTAATCACTAGAAGTTAAGGGGGCTTCTCAACTGGATTGTGCCCTGCCCATATGGAGAAAATTATTCCAAACTTATTAATGTCTCCTCCCCTCTTAATAGAACGTCACATTTGCACTGCAAACAACTAGGGTTGCCAATCTCCAAGTAGGGCCTGGAGAGCTCCCAGAATTACAACTCATTATGAGGACCCCGCCTCCTCCTCTGGCTGAGTCCCCTTTGGTTAGTGGGGTCCCCATCTTATTTTGGGGTCCCCATCTTATTTTGGGGTCCCCATTTTGGGGTCCCCGTCTTATTTTGGACAACTGTTTTAATAGGCATCCCCTTTTACAGCCTAAATGCCATGGGGACCTGAAACTAAGGAGTCACATTAAGACGCCTGGGTTCTGCCATGACAGGAGAGGAAAGGGTGTGATGGCATCACATACTGGTTAAGTGCAATCTCCCCCAACTCAGGGTTCTCAAGAACAATAAGACTTCACTTCCTTCTCAATAACAAAAGACTTTTCAACACTGGGATATCCTGGCATATCCCAGAGGTGTCTGCCCAGCCCAAGGAAGTTGTTACTACATTAAACAATGCCCAGTTTCTCTTTTTTCCTTTTTTGATTCAATCAAGAAGGGCACTCAGGTCATTAATTACACTCAATTCTGTTTCAGGAGCTATCTTGACTCACCCCACTACTCTGCTCAGTGAACGGTGTTTTTTTGCAACCAATGCATTGGACAGACCTGCTGTCCTTACCTGAGCGGTGTGGCAAGGTACCACTCCATGGGGATCAACTGGATGTGCAATGCAATAGCTCCACTATCCATGAACATTCCATTTTTTTCAATGCAGTGCTCATTTTGTCTGTGTAGACCCACAGTACTTAGTTGTATCTTAAAAAAAATTAATCAAAAACTGGATTGAGGCAGCCATGCTAGAATATGAGATAGGGGGGGAAATGGTGCATAATACGGCTGTGTTTTGAACAGAGTTCTCTCCAGAATATACTGGAAGCAGAACAACAGACCTGCAATCATGGGGAGACTGAATGAAGAACAATGGGGCAGAATTAAATTACGTATAAGTTAAGGAAGTAAAAAAACCCTCATGATTCCCCTTCTAGAAATCAGTCAGTTTTTAATGTAGTCTGCAAAACAGAACTACAATTTTAATATCTTAAATAGATCTGTCTGTTATGTAGTATGGGAAATATGCAGAAGGAAATGGGATATGAAGTATTTGGTGACAGAAATAATATTTTAGAATAGACAGTGAGTTTTGGCAGGTGCCTTCTTGCCCTTTATTTATTTATTTATTTTATTTATTTATACCCCACTCTCCCTGCAATGCGGGCTCAGGGCGGCTTACATGGAGGCAACGCCAATATAAAACATAATTAAAACCATTTAAAATCCCAACAGTACAAAACATTTTTAACAAGTTATTGACTAAAGTGCTCTGGGTGTTCAACAGGGTATTTCACAGATGGCGTATTTCGACTATTCAGCATCATCTGCTCCAGGGAAAGGCTGATGTTCCCCCAGGTGAAGATGGAATAATGATGATGGTAGTGGCGGCTCCTACTCATACGCCTGGTGGAAGAGCTCCGTCTTACAAGCCCTGCAGAACTGTACAGGGTCCCGCAGGGCCCGGGTCTCCTCCGGGAGCTCGTTCCACCAGGTAGGAGCCGCCACCGAGAAAGCCCTGGCCCTGGTAGCGGCCAGCCTGGCCTCTTTGGGGCCTGGCATTGCCAGGAGATGTTGGGTCCCGGACCGAAGTGCTCACGGGGGAACATATGAGGAAAGGCGGTCCCTTTACACCATCAGCATCAGATCCATGACGTCTTCTATGGATCCACAACGCAGCGCTAAGTAGAGTTACACCCTTCAAAGCCCATTGAAATCAATGGGCTCAGAAAGCTGCAACTCTGTTTGAGATTGTACTCCTCGTTACCCTGTTCTCTTCTGAGGATGCTCAGAGGTCAGCTGTTATACTGACGTACCACATCTAGTGCTGGCTGTACGGTATGGTTCCCTACCATGGGATGATACATTGCCAAGATAGCCCTTGAACCTCTCTATAATCTTTTCACTTTGTATAGTAGAGCCAGCCTGGTGTAGTGGTTAGAGTGCTGGACTTGTGATCTGGGAGACTCACGTTCAAATCTCCACTCTGCCATGGAAGCTTGCTGGGTGATCTTGGACCAATCACTTTTTCGCAGCCTAACCTACCTTATAAGACTGTTGTTGTGAGGATAAAACAGAGGAGGGGAGAACAATGTTAAAAGCTGCTTTGGATCCCCCCATTAGGGAGAAAGCCAGGGTCTGTATAAGTTTTTTAAAAAACAGCATCAGGCCAATAGCCAATGTTGCGAACAGGCCTGGAGAAAAAGGTCCTGTCCCTTTAATAGAGTAGTAATGTGTGCAAATGGGCAGGTGAATCTTATTATGACCTGGAGGTAAATAACATCTCCAGGTAAATGACATCTGGCAAACCTTTATCAAAGAGACAACATATTTTCCCCCCCTCCATGGAGTTGGCAACCCTTCCAACAGGAGCAGAAACAGAAGTATTTGATATAATAGGAAAAGCAGTATTTTTAAAAAAATTAAAAATATTGATTTATTTATTTAAAGATAATTTTCTTTATTCTCATTTTCCATTGGGGGTGGGTGACACTATAAATATATTGGATTGGTGATTTTTTATTAAATATGGATGAGATAAATAGAGATAAAATAATAGATACCAGTATTCCAAACAATGAAGGCAGTCAGCCCCTGGACAAAAGCTGGAATTTTGTCAGTGGTTGCCAATGCAGCTG